GTTTAAGGGTTCATTTGTCTTGGCTTCCTTCTATATGAAGTCCTTCCAGCCAATGTTATTAAAACCGAACTGGACCAACCGGTTCAACTGATTGACCAATCGACCAGTGTAGCTTCTAGTCTTGATACACCCTGGAACTCGTTCTACATTAGAGACCACCTTATTGTCATCAAAACAGTGAAAACCACAGTTAAACTAGTAACCTGTTTGACCCAGACCCTCATGTGCGACCTATAAACTACCATTCCTTGCAAAAGATTACTTGCAAAGCCTCAAAAACTAACTCAACCTTGAGCCATCAGGCTATTGCACCCTTCTATTTCTACATGGTAAGCATTAATATTTATTACATTAAAGGAATTTTGTATCCAATATAAATTTAATTAATTTTCCTACAAACAATATATATTTATATAAACTTATATAATTGGTTAATATATTTATTTAAATATATATATGCATTTTAAAATATAAAAATAATTAAAAAAAAAGTTTTTCAATACATATTTTTATTTGAGGTCTACATGGTAAGCATTAATATTTATTCCATTAAAGGAATTTTGTATCCAATATAAATTTAATTAATTTTCCTACAAACAATATATATTTATATAAACTTATATAATTGGTTAATATATTTTTAAATATATATATATGCATTTTAAAATATAAAAATAATTAAAAAACAAGTTTTTCAATACATATTTTTATTTGAGGATAATTTTTCATAAATTTATAATGTAATTATGATGTCACAGTTCAATTTTGGTTGACCCGGTGGTTGAACCAGAGACTCTTGATCCAGTCCTTTTTTTTATTTGATCAACAGTATAGATTTAAAGACATTGCTTCCAGCGAAAAGACTTTAGAGGAATTCCTTTGAAAAAATGCATTTTGAAAATAAATTTTGCTTGAATTATCAAAATAAAATAAAATAAATGTTGTTTCGTTAATAAATCTCTAAATGAATTTTTTCTCTCTCACCTCCCTCCTTTTTTTTCAATAATGGTGTTAAATAGTTAATTTATACATCATCAATTTGTAAGCCATGGACATACCATTAGGCCCCACTTTATTCTATCTCAATCTAGTGAACCAATGGGCAGTTCAACCTAATTATATGATTTGATATTTTTCCTTATTTGTGAGTTTTTTTCTTTTTTTTCAGTAATACTAAATACTAGGCCATTCCATAATTTAATCCCAAAACCTCTCTATTTTTTTCATTAAAAAATTAAATACACATTAAAAAGAAAAATATGACAATTTTTTATTAGGAAGTTGATCATTTAAACATCAAAAATCAATGCTTCAAGATAATTTTATAAATGGGAAATTTAATTAATAAAAAAAAGGAGCAGCAGCAATAAACCCAATGATGGGGATCAAGGAAAAGGAGGTCTGAAGACCTATTGTAAGCGGAAGAGAAGTCTATAGGAAGTCAAATACTAATTTAGGAAGTTAATAATTTTATCCATTTTCTACATTATTTATATCTTTCTCTTTTTGTATTTCTTTATAGGTTAATGGAACATATATCTATATATATATTTGGATGGTGTAAGAAAGATTTTCACTTTTTTGAATGAATTAATATTGATTGAGAATATTTTCAAAAAGCCTGGTTATGGTTCTAATGTCATTTCATCTTCTGATTCTACACCACCCAATCATAGATAGATTTGAACTAGAAAATCAAAGAACTTGAAGATGTGAAAACACAAATCAAGAAGAAAAATAACAAGAAAAATAGTAGATAAAATCATAGGAAGAAGAGAAAGATAAGAAAATGTTGAAAACAAAAGGAGCATGTTGCTTGTAATGAAAACGTGAAATGAAGAAATCACAAAAAAAATAAAAAATAAAAAAATAAAGAAGAAGAAGAAAAAGATTCCCAAAAGTCATTGGCCTTTTACCAATGATGTGACACAAATTTGAGAATAGAAAGAGTATTAAGATGATCCATACAATTAAAAACATGGCACAAATTTCTCGTTGGACAAGATCTTTACGTAAAAGAAAGCATGTGAATAAAATGATAATAATATGTTATTTCATAGGGACAAAATAGGGGATTCAAATCTATTAATGAGACATTTTTACTTAACGAGAAGTTGATCAAGAAACCACTCCCACCTACTTAACACTTGGGGTTCCAATTCCACCAAATGGACATTGGAATGAACCCACTAAGCAATCAAAAGTTATGTGAAAAGACTTATAGAGCCCAAAAACAAAAAATGGGCTTCTGAAAAGCCCCCAAAATGTATACCAAAACTTTTGACTTCTAAAAATCTCCAAATCCAAATAAAAACATATAGAAAGACCCCAATAACATAGAACAAATGTATAGGAACCATAAAATAAGACTTGAAATAAGAGTAAAAACTTGATTTCAAGACCCATTATGCAACAAAATATCTATTGAAATGACATTTTGTTCAAATATGATCTCATCTAACAAAAGTATACAATTCATAAAGCAATTATTTCCTTATCATATATGTAGTTTTATTACGCATGTATCATGGAACACACAAAACATTTGGGGAGCTTCTGTTTCCACACACTATTCTCCCTCAATTCACACAATTGGTCAATTTTTTTATTACAATTTTGTCTTCAAATAAAACTACCAAAATGTCTTATCTTCCTCGACCAAAACCATAATTCCGAAACCCTAATCCCGACCCTTCCCCAAGCAGTGTTGGCCTCTGCTACCCTTTCTTCGGCATCATTAATCCTTCCTAACCCCTTCTCTGACATTGCAGACCCCTTCTTCAACGCCACACCATCACCCCAACCTCAGTAGATAGTGCACACCATCACACCCAAACCATAACCACTCTCTCTCTCTCTCTCTTACCGTTCAGAATACCAACATCAAACAAATCACCTCCATTCAAATATGAATCACCAAACCAATAGTTTTGTTTAGATAGAAACCATCAAACCAACAATGTTTTCTTGAATACCAACCATCAAATTTGGTGTTCTCGCAGCAGGAGCTGCGACAAGGTTCGCAAAGGTGGAGTTTGTGACAGTAGAGGGTCACCTAGATGGGGGTTTGTGGTTGAGGGGAATCATAAAGGAGGAGGAGGAGGAGGGGGGGGATTCACAGCGGAGGGAATTTCGTAGTTGTGGGAGATCATAGAGTTGGAGGTTTGTGGCAAAGGGAGGTTTGTAATGGTGTGGGGTTGCAAAGGTGGAGGGGATTGCAGATGTTAGGGGATGGAGGAAGGATTGCAATAGTGGATTTGAGGCGGCAACATTGACCGGATTTACTGAGATGGTGGTGATGGGCGGTGGCTAGGGTTAGGGTTTGAAGGTTGAAGAAGGTGGGGGCATTTTTGTTATGACAGGTTGTGTACTGAGCAAAACATTAAGTTTGAAATCAAGTGTGAATATTGAAAGAAGATGTGCACAGAAAGTTTTCAATGTATGGAAATAGAAGCTCCCAAACATTTGTAGTGTTAAGAGAAACTTCCTGCATTCTAAGTCATAAAATCTTATGAATATGATATTTTCTTCACCACTATTCTTCCCTAGATAATGATTATCCTAGGAAAGTAACTTTTTCAATAAAACCTTAGTTTGATTCAAGTAGCAGCCAAGTTTTGACCTCTTACAGACACTGACAACTTTGCAGCATATTTCTTACAAGGAGCTTACTAATAGTTTACCTTTCAGTCCATTCTGTGGCATAAGGACATATTTAGCCTTTAAGCATCACTAATGATATGTGTCATGTTGTGTTTTATTTTTTGGACAGTAAATTACTAAGCGGTGGTTCCCTCAAAGGCAGTCTCCTAACTTGTGTTTCTTCTCATTACCTATAAAAGACACAGCCCCAAAAAGCTATATTATATACCATTGAAATTTTTAATATAGTTATGATAATTACATTTGAGTATCAAAAATTATTTATTGTCTTATGTGTAATCACTATATGTGTAACATATATGAGTGGTACAGCAGTTAGGGCTTTTAAATTAATACAATGGTGATAGATGAGATGATAAACAACTTTTAGCTAATCATCATAGTATTATTGCTGAGATTTATACTTCCAAACATAAAAATCCTTTTGAGACATGAGGAGAAAATAACAAGGAGCTCACTGATTCAAACATAACAAATTGGGTCAGTCTACAAATTGGCCAGATTAGAACGTCAATGATTTAAGTCTAGTTATAGGCAAGACTTCCCCTCTTTTATGCTATAGGTCTTCGATGTATTAGAAAATTCCTCCACCTCCTCCAGGCTATGGTCTGCTCTTTTATTGATTTTAGATTGACTGAGAGAATTTTATTTACAAATTTAACGATATTTAATAATTTTTACAGTTATAAAAATGTATCTTTGAGTTATGTATGATGTTTTGGTATGAATGAAATAATTAGAACATTGTTGTAAACTTTTAACACATAGCTTGGCCCCCTCTAGTTGTAATATCTGTGTCCCCCACTAGCTACAACACTAAATCAAATTTCATTCTTAATTTTTTGACATCAATTTCATATAGTTGAACACCCAACTCTTTTTCTTGCTTTTTTTTGGTAATTTAGTTGAACACCAACTTGATACTAGTTTTTCAGCAAAATGAAATAAAATAATGAAAGAGTACATATCTAGGTAAAGTCAACTTAAACCCAAGATTATCACAAAATTCTGAATTATGTGAATAAGGGAAGACTAATAACAAAGTCAACATGATCCAACTTCCAAAATCAATAATTCAAATGAGAACTACTTTCAAAATTCAAAAATTAATCATCTTTTACTAAGCCTATTGATGTGGACTCCAATTTCCATCACTCTCTATCTCTAGAGGAAAAAAAAAAAAAAAAAAAACAGAAAATCGTTCGTCTTAATAATAGCAAGGGCAAACTAGTAGAACTCAAACATATCTTCACAATATGATGATTATTAGAAAACAAAACAAGAACAAGTGTTCGATTTATGTAACAGAAAAAGCAATCAGGAACTTGTGCACTGACCTTCATTTTGTGAAGAAGTTCTCTTCCGGTCATGATTGTCCGCTAAATTATCAGAAAGGCAGAGAGAGAGAGAGAGAGAGTTGACGTTTGGGAGAGGAGAGAGGGCACAAATATGAAATGAAATGGGGTTTTTCCAATGGGTATGTAGCGTCTATTATCTAATATATATAGGAGAGTTTTGGAATGGCAAAAATGATTTGCACCTCCAGTTTTTCAAACCCTCAAGTGACCCCAGTGTTTTCTTATTGGTTGGAATTTTTTTTATTTTTTATTTTTTTCTATCTACCAATCACAGAGCCCCATGTAGAGTGGGGGTGCTGGAGTCACCCCACTGGGGTCCCCAACACGGTTGTTGGAATGGTGGTAAAAAGTTAGTTTTTTTAATTTTTTTTAATTTATTTTGTTTTTGGTAGATAAGTTAGGTGAGAAGTGAGGTTTCGTTTGGCAAGAGTTAAATGAGATTTTTTTGGTTATTTTAATCACAAAAGATAAAATAGGTTATTTTAGTCACAAAAAATAAAATATCACATCTAACTTATAATCATTATATTCTTCTCTCACAAAATAAGTCAAAAAATTAAAAAGTCATTCTCAAACCAAACTTTTTAGCCTAGGTTAAAATAGCCACAAAAGCTAAAAAGTCAAAAAGTCAATCCACTTCCCAAATGGAGGCTCAGTATGTTTAGTTTGAGTTTTTTGGATTAAATTTTTTAAAAATTGATTTTTTTGATTTTCGTGTTTTTTTGTTTTTAGTGAATATTTTTAAAATTTTAAATATTTTTTTTATTTTTTTAGATGCACCTTACTTAGATGTATTTAAAAAGTAAAAAATTTGTGAAAAAATATTTTAAGAAATTAATAAATACATAAAAATATAAAAAATATATATACTAAATTCTCGTATTTTTGGTATTTAGTGAATTTTTGAAATATTTTTTTCACAAATTTTTTACTTTTAAAATATATTTATGTTAGGTATGTCTAAAAAGTAAAAAAAAAATTATTTAAAATATTAAAAAAATTCAGTAAAAATAAAAAAAAAAACACTAAAAATAAGAAAGTTGAATTTTCTAAAAATTGTTTTTGAAAAAATGGAACCAAGCAAGGGATTTAAAAAAGTCAAAAAAATTAATAAGTTAACTTTTAATTTAATTGTGAAAAAAGGAGGTCAACGGATAGAAACGTATTTTATGTGTATACCTACGTAGACTGTACTGTATAGATATTGTTTGTGACTTGAATTTTTAATCCCGCGTTTTGCTTTTACATTTTTTTTTTTTTTAAAAGTTGTCCAGACCAGACAACGCGTTTTTGCCGACGACAATTCCATGATCTATTATTTGTTGGTATATTTGTTTATTAATTCAGGTATTTATGAACAAAAAGTAAAAAAATATACTTATATAATACATCCCAAACAATCCTCTAAAAATTTACAACAATGATTCATCCCCTCTTTTCCATTATCTCTACCACCATGCATTAAGGTGTTGTTTGATAAAACTAAAAAATAAAATAAATATTGAAAACTGTATGCTAAATTTTTTAAGTTAAAAAACTATTTGATGAAAATTTAAGTACTAAATTAAAAATAAATTACTTGATTTGTATAAAATCATCTTTGAAATTTATTATTTTTGAATTATATATTTTAATTTTTGTATTGTGGTGGCAGTGGCATACATCGTTTGGGAAGATGAGTTTGTGGCTTTTTTGGCTATTTTAATCACAAAAGACAAAATAAACTATTTTAGCTACAACAAACAAAATATCACATCCAACCCATAATTATTACATTCTTCTCTCACAAAAAAAGTAAAAAAAAGCCCAAAATCCAAAAAGTCTTTCCCAAACTAAGCTTTTTAGCCTAGGCTAAAATAGTCAAAAAAAGTTAAAAAGCCAACCTACTTCTCAAACGAAGCCAGTGTAGTGGTGGTGGTAGTGGTATGGTGGTGGTGGTGGTGGTGGTAGCAGCGGTGGTGTGATAGTGGTGGTAGTAGCAGTGGTGGCATGATGGTGGTGGTGGTTGTAGTAACGATGGTAGTGGTGGTGGTGATAGTGGCAATGGTGTGATGGTGGTGGTAGTTGTAGTAATGGTGGTAGCGGTGACGGTGGCATGATGGTGGTGGCTGTGACTTTATAATAATATTTATTGATATTATGTTCGGTATTTATAATTCAGTCAAAATAAAGTAAGTTTTATGACTTAAAATTCTCTTAAATTTTAGTATACATTTTAAGAGACGCTTAAATATTTAAATAATATCAATTACGGTTCTCAAACTGATTTATTTGATTATCACTTAATCAATTCAATTTTAAGAGCTAAATGATATTATCCAACACCCCTAAATCTCGCACTTTTTCCTAAAATAAAATTAGTAGTTGTTATTATTAAATTATACTAGTAATAGTTTTGTATAAAAAAAATATTTTCTAACTACCTTTCAAAAAATAATGAAATTGTCAAGATATTGTGTTTGAAATGTTTGTTTTGGGTCAACTCAATTTAGTTAAGGAAAAAAATTGATTTAATAGTCAAGTCAATCTAAAAACCAAATAATAATGTCAATCTTCCAAAATGATGTCAAAATTTAACATTTACACTATTATATTGGCATGTGAATTTTTTTATTAAGAAAAAATATAATGTCCAAGACTCAAAATTCAAAGTTAAGGTGCAGGAAAGAAAATTCTTACTACTTAAGTAGTACCTATATTATAATATTAATTTTATTTATCATTTGTTTTTATTTTATTTATTTAAATTACACACGTATTACACGTGCTAATCCCTTAAAATTGCTCATATTTATATAGTCTTAAATAACTTTTAAATGAGGGTTTATTACACAACTTGCAGGTTCAGTGACAAATGAAAAATTAGAAGTTAGCTTCTGATTTCTTATTTGATTTTTAGATCATGTTGATGACAACTCTTATGACAATAAGAAACAAATAATGATAAAATATTTATAATTTTAATATAGTTTTTATATACTTTTACATATTTTATTACATAAATTTATATATTTTTTATACACATATCAAGGTTAATGATAACTTTTAAGATTGTTTTTAACATTTTCTTTTTGGGAAGTGTTTGGGTTTTTAAGGTACATATCATATGTATTTGTCTAAATTCTCACAAATATACATAATTTACCTTATAAAATCGCGTAAATTGTAATTTATTAAATTTTTATGCGTTAATTTAAGTATATTTGTAAAAACTTACTTAGTTTTATAAGATAACTTATATATATTTGTAAGAATTTATTCAAATACATATGGTTTTGCACAATTAAAAATTGCCCTTTCAGTTTCATTTTTTATACAACATTTTGATAAACACCGAGCTTATGCTTCTTTATCCCAAAAAATAGATGAGATGGCTAGAATTAAACACCTCAAAATTATATCTTTCTCCCAAATAAAAAAAATAATAATAAAAAATAAAATAAAATAAATAATCATCCTTTTCTTTTTGAGGGCATATTTCATGGACTTGTATCTTATGATTTGAATATTCTATCCGGGAAATTTTACAATACATATGCCATCACATGTTTAGTTATGACTTTTATAATTAATAGTTACGAATTATTATATATTTATTTTTTTGATTATAAGAAGTCTCTAGTTATACACCAAGTGATATTTAGAGGTTGTTTGTGGTGTCTTAAATAAGTGTACTTTTTATCTTTTTGGACTAAAAAATTGAGGAAAAAAATATGGATGTTTTGGTTAACTTTTTGACTTTTTATAGAAAAATGTGTATTAAAAAATTATATAAATTAGTGTGTAGAGGAAAATTATGATTGAGAATTGTGCAGCCGTAATTTTTGACTTTTGGTGAATAGTAATAACTTTTTAACTTTTTGAGTAACTTTTTAACTTTTTTTCAACTTGTCAAACTTGACCTTAATATAGGTTAATAGTCCCATTTTATAATTATGACTTTTATAATTGATAGTTATTGAATATTTTATCCACCGCCACTACCACCACCACCATCACTATCACTACTGCTATCAATAAATTTCATTTTGAGGAATGGTGAACCATTTAGTTCTAAGAATTTTTTTATAGACTAATTAGTCCCACTGATTTTGGAAAGATAGATTTAACATATTATTTAAAAATTAAAATTATTGTTATACCCTTATTTTTATTATGTTCCTTCTCTTTTTTTTCTTTTGTGCTAGAAAGGTAAGGTACACAATATATGAAAATTAAATTTGAGATGAATTTTTATATAAAAATCTTTTTTATTTGGAAAACATTTCAAAAGGAGTATAAATGACTTAAAATATGAGATTCTTCAAATATTTCAAAAAGATGTAGGATTTGTCAAACATTTCGAAAGGAGTACAAAAACTACTTGGTAAGTTTCGGCCAATTGTATAATTTCAAACTATAATACTCCAATGTAACACTCAAATGTATCACTTTAAAAATAAAATAAAAAAATCTTTGTGTAATACCTTAATGTAACAAAAAAAACTCATTACTGTAATTTTTCCAAACATAATACTCCAAAAAAACTATTTAATATAACACTCTAATGCAACACACAAAAAAATTCTTTATTATAACACTCTAATGTAATACACAAAAATTTCTTAATGTATTTTTTCCAAACGTAACACTCTAATATAAGTTATAGCACTAAAAAAAAACTCCTTAGTGTAACACTCTAATCTAACACACAAAAAAAAAATTTAATATACTTTTTTCAAATGTAACACTCTAATATAATACTCTAAAAAACTCCTTAGTGTAACATTCTAATGTAACACACAAAATCTCCTTAATATAATATTCCAGTGTAGCACACAAAAAAAAAAACTCTTTAATATACCTTTTTCAAACATAACATTTCAATATAATACTTCAAAAAAGTGGTTTAGTGTAACACTTTAATGTAACACATAAAAAAAACTCTGTAGTGTAATTTTTCCAAACGTAACGCTCCAATGTAACACAAAAAAAAAACTTATTAGTGTATATTTATTAAACATAACACTCCAATTTAACAATAATAAAAAAAAAAAGAATATGAGATTCTTCAAACCATTTCAAAAGGAGTACAAATATTCCTTAGTAAGTTTTTGGCAAATATATAATTTCAAACTGTGAGTGTTACGTTTGAA